TTTAACACTAGAACCGCCAATCGGGTCAATTTGTGTGATGTGTGTTGTGTGTGTGCAATGTAACTTTTTTTCAATAAAATATTAAAGTCTCCCAGTCCGTGACTTTTCCTGAAAGTGTGTTATGTAGCACCCTATGTTGTTAAAAATTGCATTCTAATAGCGGGATTTGACGGTTTTAGGTAGGCCTATACAAAAACTAGGGATGCACCGAATATTCGGCCACCGAAAATTATCGGCCGAAAATGGTTAAAAAGGCCCTTTCGGCTTTCGGCCGAAATGGTTTTAGCACCGAAAAAAGATCACCGAATGTCAGAGATCAGTGCTTGTGATTTGATCTTACTCCGCATATTTGTCCGGGTGTTTTGATTTCAAGTGGTGGAGTAATCCCGAAGTGGTGAAAGTCTTTGCAGTTACACCCCCTCGAGAAATGTCAGCTGAACACGTTTTACAAATCGCAATACGCGCCTCTTTCTCTGATATTTTTAAATATCTCCAAGCGCCAGACATGTTGGCTGTGAGCCAGCCGCGAGCATGGTCGCGCGCCGTGCTTGTCGCCGCCTTTTGATTACGTCATCACAACAACACGTTAGCTTACCAACGTAACCCTGTTCCCTGACATTCGGTGATATTTTTTCGGCCGAAAGCCGAAAGGGCCTTTTTAACCATTTTCGGCCGATAATTTTCGGCGGCCGAATATTCGGTGCATCCCTAGTTACAATTCAAGCTTTTAAATTATGACATAATGAAATACAATAAATCCCATAACAAATTTGAAAGATACCAATAGGCTTAAATTAAAGTATACCTTAAAGTTTCAAAGCTTTACTATTTAAGTTACATATGTCGAATTGTATTATTGCACGTTGAACAATTTTCGCATTAGCATGTTCTTTTGAAGAGTTGCTGTTCAATGAGTTAAATACTAATTACTTATATATACTGTAAATAATACTAGTAAGTAAACTGAATACAGTTTTTTCCCTATAATGTTGCCAATAAATAATGCAATTATTTCCTGAAAACCTACTTGCTCATTTCCATTAAATTACCAACCCCTTAAAATGTTAAAGACATTTGTGGGAATTGTTGTTCAACTTACAGTCTAACTAATAATTAGAAATATATATTAAAGACGTTTGTGTTGTCTTCCAGGAGGACATGGCAGCTCACGTCGGAGCATCCCGAACTCCTCAGGAAGTCATGGAACACTATGTCACCATGTACATCCACGGAAACCTAGGTAAGGCCTGCATCCCTGAGAGCATTCCCAACCGGGTTACGGACCACACCTGTCCCAGCGGGGGGCCGCTGTCGCCTAGCCTTACCACTCCTCTCCCACCGCTTGATATCAACCTTGCAGACCAGCAGCAGCTGGGCTACATGCCACTACGTGACGACTATGAGATTGAATATGACCAGGACGCAGAGAAGCTTATTAGCGGGCTGTCTGTGAACTACGACGACGAGGATGTGGAAATTGAAATGAAACGTGCACATGTGGATATGTATGTGCGCAAGCTTAGAGAACGCCAACGACGTAAGAACATCGCAAGAGACTACAACCTGGTGCCTGCGTTCCTGGGCAGAGACAAGAAGGACAAGGAGAAGGAGAAACCAGGAGCGCTGGGAGTCATAGGTACTGCTGTTGGGGTAGGGGGGGTAGCAGTTGGCAGTGGCCCAATTGGATCAGGTTCCACAACGGCAGTAGGATCAGGCCCTGTTTCCAGTATGCCCAAAAGAAAGATCCCGAAGGAAGAGAAGGAGCAGCGGGTCAGACTGCGGGGGCTCTGTCAGTTCATGGCTAATCGGGAATTTGAAGACTTCTTTGAGAACATGCATAAAGAGCGTGTGCTAAGAGCAAAGGTGCGTGAGCTGCAGCGCTACCGGCGCAATGGCATCGCCCGCCTTGAAGAGTCTGCTGAATATGAAGCAGCGCGCCACAAACGGGAGAAACGCAAGGAAAACAAAAGCATGTTCACCTCCAAACGGGGAAGCGGAGGAGGAGGGGGCGGGCTTGGCTCTGGGATTGGACTTGGGGGAGGAGCTGGAGGGGGAGGCGGCATAGCTGGAGGGTTGGGGGTTGGTTGCGGGATTAAGGAAGAGGGCAAAGATGGTGAATTTGCCGCCATCGAGAATCTGACAGGCTTTGAGCTGCTGTCAGACAGGGAGAAGGTGCTTTGTAACTCTCTGAACCTCAATCCAGCACGTTACCTGACTGTCAAAACCATCATCATCAAAGATCACCTGCAGAAAAGGCAAGGTATCCCGGCCAAGAGCCGGCTGCCCAGCTACTTGGACAAGGTCCTCAAGAAGCGTATTCTCACCTTTTTAACGGAAAGTGGCTGGATATCCAGAGATGCCTCTTAGCGATCCATCTTTGGTCAGGAAATAATACGTTTATGATTCGCTAAAAGCTCTGTAGGCAACTACTGGCATTTTTCAGAGGTGACATTGTGGATATGTACATTACAAAGAAAGAAGATGCCCCACTGGAGGAAAACAAATATATATTTTCATACGAGGGCTAAGAAGAAAATAAGCCTCTATTTTTAGATTTGGTAAGGGACAGGGCTGAAAAACAACACTTTGGGTTTGAAGTATTTTGTGTCCATATTTTTACTACATGAATGAAAACTACAATGCTAACAAGTATAACATAGCTCCAGAGATGTTTAAATGCTGTTGCAAGAGGATGATTGTTAGATTTAAAATCCAAAAATCGACATGGAAAAGGCAATAGAAACATAACATTTCATGGAAGAGTTTGAGTCATAATTGTTGGGTGAATAATCACTATTTTTGGTGGTAGATGTTTTTCAGGATTTTCCTCAAAATAAATTAAGTTATTTTTGTTAGTAGGTAAGGCAGGACTTCCTAACTAGAGCTACCGTTTACATCTTATAAAATGTTATGGCCTTCATTTTCTAGATTTTTTTTCATGCAAACAATCAATCTTCTGAATGTTCTTCTTCTCACTGACTAATTGGGACAGGAAAAGAAGCAGCAGGGTTGAACAGCCATCATGTTTCTTTTTGGCTGAGCACTTGCTTCTGCCTGAAGGCAATCACAATGTAGGTTGACATAGAGCTAGATGGATAGATCTGATGATATATCAGTATTGGCCCATTCGTCAGCCAATGAGCAACAAGAAATAAATGCCAAAGATGATTTAAAAGATCATTTAGAGTACATTACACAATCTGTCAACCAGAGAGAACAGGCTTCAAAATGCTGTCAGGCTTTAATTTGTATTAATTGATGTCAGTTTTTCACCTGAAATTACTATGGAGGAAGACTTTTTTTCTCAGAAAAATGAGTGCAGCTTAGCACAGCTTTAAATCTTCTACTGTCAACATAATATAATACAGGCAGCTTAATGTGAAAGGGCATTTTGCAATGATACTAAAATGCCTAATTAGAATTTAGTTAAGCAAGTGTTAAGTCAAGGCAATTTAATAGTAAACATCTTTATATTTTTCAACTAGCAGGAACTGCAGTATGCCTCAATTTAATTTCAAAAGGTCCTTACATCAAACCTAAGCCCTGTGGACGACAGCATCACATTCCCAGGTGGTAACTGTCTTTTTTAGGGGAAATGCTATTCATGAGTAGCATTAGTTCTTAGCTGTATACATTGCAGCAAAAGTAGCTTTGCTTTTTTTGTGGTGTTTAAAAAGTAAATGCTCCCTCTTCACTGTAGAACTTGAGTCGAGGGGGTTAATATTCTGTTATGGTCAACAGTCATGCTTTGTCATATTTCATCAATGTTGTGCTCCACACCATGTACCATTTTAATCAACGTAAGGTTGTATTTCAGAGATAAATCTGGTGATATTTTATATTTCTCTTATTATATACACATCCCATGAAAACACCAAAACCACCTATTGTTTGTATCAAAACACTGTTGAACTGAGTGGTGTGTCTTCATTACCGTGAACACACACACTGTCATTTTGACTCAATCCCACATACATTAACACTCGCTAGACCACTAAATGGCTGATAATTGGCCCGACAAGTGCATTTCTTCCCATTTGAGTCATTTCCTAAAAACTATGCCACCAAACCTTTTTTTAAGGATTAAACATTTATATATAATAATGAATAATTACTCTGCAAGAGACAATAGGACAATGGAAAGTATTAAGAGGCAGGCATAAGTTTTGTGTTTTCATTGAATTTGATTAAACTAGAATACTTTATATTTTAAGCCTTACTTTGTATTGTTAAGTAACACATCATCAGGTGCTTATGCTTGTTTTTTGTTGCATAACTCTGGGTCTTAGTAGTTCACAATTTTGAGAAATGCTTATAATACAAAAATCCATATTTCCAACATAATTTGTATACAACATATGATTAATCAAATGTACATTCTGTTCCCATTGCGTTGCATAATAACCCATGGCTAACATTTCGGACTGGAGTTTGATGTATTAGTCAATTGTTTAGGTTTATTGAAGATGCTGATTGTACAACTGTTGTGTTGAAGCTAAGGGGAATGTGTGAGTATAATGGCATTGTTAAAAAACGAATAAGAAAAGTTCAGGTCAGATGTCAGCCCCAAGTCCCAAAATGTCATCTGAACCACAGTTAAAAAAAAACAAGGCTACATTTCAGCCTATACACCAAACTCCAATCCTGTAGCATTGATGCTTCTCATTTGTATGAATATTAGTTATCTTCAGATTTTGACAGTAAATCTTTCTGCATGTGCACCCAAATGTTCAAAAAGATGCTAAAATAGTGGCAATTATATTTTTCCAATGGCTATAATAGTTTTTGTAAGGGGGATTTTGCATTCTTTTTACATTTGTAATATAAATTGGGAAAAACATATAATTACCCACATGTGAAATGTACAGTATTTTGTGTCATGGTAATGTTCATAAATTTGTAATAAAGTAAAAATAATTTTTGATTAGAGATGAAGCATTTTCTGGAGATTTAGGCATAATGGTGACATGCAGCTGTGCTGCCTATAATATAATATCCGGGTTGTAGTCGAATTGTCCAAAAATCCGCTTCTCTCGTCTTTTCCTATCCACTATTCCTTGACCTCTGTGTGAAAAGTCAAGGTGTTCAGGAATAGTTGATAGGAGAATTCAAAAGGACTTAAGAAAAGAGACTGCTGTACTTTGAGAATCCGACTGCACTTACACTATCTGACGTATTTATGATGCGCCAGCGGACGTCATAATTGGCGTCTGCTGTGGGGAAACTACAGTTTTCTATACAGTGGACTAAATGGATGTATAATAAGAACGGCGGACTACTGTAAACGCATCACTTTGCACCGTGCTCTTATGGTGCTGTTTTATGCTTTAAGGACTTGGACAACAGAGAAACATGTATTCTTCATGACCAAGGTTGGAATTGAAATAAATAAAGTAAAGTGACATTTGTGCTTGCCACCCTCCGGTCCACACGTATTAATCCACAATAATCCCAATAAGGATGATTGTATGAAAAGATCTTAAAATAAAGACAAATGTATTTGTTATAAACATGTTAGTACTTCACATCTATCACTGTGCATATCACCATTAAAACATATTTTAAGAAACTCCACACAGCTCAGTAAACACTATGAAATGTTGACTTTTGTTGTATCTTGTGATCAATAATTGTATGTCCACAACATAGGAGTAGGTTTAACTGGTTTACTTTGGTAACATGCTTCCGGGACTTCCTCCTGGGAACATGCACAACAGGCTCTTTTAATACCAAGTGTGAGTTTGCCTCCTGCTGGACAAATGCAATAACATGTAATAATAACACAAGGTAAGATACCACATTTCCCCCTGATTTCCCCCCCTTTAAGCTAACAATACTTCCCGAAGGTGGGGGTATAACATACTCCCGTTACGCAACATTTCGAGGTACTGACATAAATCATTTCACTTTCAAAGATTAACATTCTAAACATTTCCTTAAAGTGAGAACAGAGAACTATGCTGCTCTATTAATGGAACATCTCTTGATCTATTTAACAAAGTCTTTCAGGTATACAGGTGGCTGTCTCTCGCGCTCTGACCGTCTCACCACGGGTGTAGCAGGCAAGTCCGGCGGGACCGGAGTACACAGAATCACTGGCTCAATTGCAGGAGGTCCTTCTTGCTCGATTCTCACCGGAACCACAGTGTCCCTGTTGGAGTCCAGCACCGGCTCTAAGGGCACGGTGTCTGACAATCTGGCTTAGATCCACATGCCGCTTCACAACTTGACCACTTCCAATGATCACTGTATATGACACTGGACCTGATGAGCTCTCGATGAGCGCAGGGATCCATTTAGGTCCATAAGAGTAGTTTCTGATGAACACTTTATCCCCAGGTGAGAAACTTCTCAGTTTCCTGTCTGTGTCATGGGACTGTTTCTGTTTTTGCTGCACTCTTGTTTTCACATCTGGCAGGAGCAGGTCAAGTGCAGATCTGAGTCTCCTTGACATCATCAACTCTGCAAACGACAGGCCTGTGGTCGCGTGAGGTATGATGCGGTAACTGAACAGAAACCTTGACAGTCTNTTTTTTGTATGTCCAATCTTCAAAAACTCTGAGTCCCGACTGGACAGGTTTATTTTGAAACATTCTGTCACAGTCACAGGATAGGTACCTGTCAGCCCAATAAGACAGATGGCTTTATTTCCTTTAACTCTCGGTTGCGTCTGGCTGTCTTGGCCTCTGCCTTGCATCAGTGAAACACGGGAAATTACAATTCCTCCCATCCTCTCATGATGAGGATCAGGTAAGCGCACGGTTAATGCTGTTTATATTATTGACTCGAAATAATATATACATGAGCTTTGCAGAGTTAGGCCAATCTACGCGATATTAACACAATTAGTTAAACGTACTTATCACGCGCGACTGTTACTGTTTTTTCTTGCTATATAATATAAAAAAAATGTTTTTTGGCCTAGGGGGGCCCCTTAGTGGCTGCGGGGCCCTAAGCGGCCGCTTATGTCGCTTAATGGGTCGGGCCGGCTCTGGCAGTGAACTGTCAACGGGGGGGAGCCCCGCCGGTCATTATCGGCCCATATTCACTCTAAATAGTTTGATCGGTGCTCTCTATAAAGGCTGATCAGGAGAGCTGGATCTGATCGATATGGACATAAACACGAGTGAAGTATAACCGGACGCGAGAGAGAGATCAGATCAGCTGCTGGGTCTGACGGAGACACGCAGCTCTGCATGATCACCTGATGTGATGTCTCCGCTCTCTGTTTAGCGAGCTGACCGGACTGCGCAAAATGCGTATATGAAGTGTCATGAACGCAAGAAATCATACCCTCGTGGGGGCGCGCTCAGGTGATTGGCTTAGACTGGAGGAGACATCTGATTGGCTATAGATGAGAGAAATTACAAGTAAGAATCGGGTGAGCGTCAGGGGAGTCTCAAAAAACCCACACACGAATGCACAGCGATCCATGCACAGAAAGCGGTTTGTGTTTGCAGGTTCAGGGGATTTAAACGGAAAACAAATATGTGTGGATCAAAAATACATATGTAAAACTTGTTTCTGTGTTTGGATTTTATTTACATGTATATGAAACGGAACACATTTGTGTGTGCATTGAAAAACACAAGTGTGGATCCGGAAATACAAGTGTGAATCCTTTTGCGGATCATGAAATACAAGTGTGATTCCTTCTGTGTGCATGCGTGTATAATGAGACTGTTCTGACCCCATAAACAGGCTTCAGAATGACAATGCCAACATGTTGATGTTAGGTGACTTTACCGTGTTCACCATATTTATACCAAGTTTAGCATATTATTGTGCTAACATTTACTCATTGGCCTAGCATTAAACCAAGTAAAGCTGAGGTTGATGAACCTGGCAACCTCACTGTAATATAACTCCCGAAAGCTACAAACACTTTTGTCAAAAATTGCTAAGCTAGGCTAACCATGTCCTGACTATATTTAAAATACACATATGGGATTGATAATTGTCTTCTTGCTCTTGGTAAGAGAGAAATATAGCTGTGATTTTGTTACATTTTTATATTATTCAATCTTTAAAAATATTCAATTTAATTGAGACAGCTTTGGGGAAACAGGAAGGCATGTTTTTGTTATCGCTGTTTAACGTATTACAAAAAAAATGGTTCCCTTCTCTATTCTATCTGCTAAGCGAAAGACTAAAATCAAAAATAAAGGACCTTCCGTCTCTCTGTCCTTGATTCACTGAGATGAATCTGATCTCGCTCTGTGAAAGAACGACTATGTGTTTTCAAATATGTCGGACAGTCTTCTTTTTTAAGGCTCTATTTGAAGCTGCTGCCTCCCACGTAGACAGGAAATGACCTCTAAACCTTTTTACAGACAGTTTTGAGGACAGAGAGAATGAAGGGCATGTGAAGATAGCATTTCAAAGTGAGTCAGCTCTCTTGGTGTTGATAATAAGACCCCAAGGAATGTATTTTACAGTACAGCTATTTTATTGAAACACCTATAGAACTAAATTTGACACACTGCTTAAGCTTTTATAAGATGCTGAAAGTGGAGTCAAACTGAGAAAAGAGATATCCGCATAAATTCATGCAGTGTTATTGACGCTTATTGGAGATATTGCTTTTAAAGTAGAAGCAATTCCGAAATCAAAGTGGGTAAGGGTTGATGGCTGCCAATATTATATTGGTATTAACTTGGTTTCAATTGAATTTGTCTCTGTGCACATTAGGATGTACCATTTACAGACCGACAACCTGAAAAACATCCATACTTGGAATATAAATCTGCTGATTATGAAACCTGATTTATGTAAATCCTTAATAACAATTGCAGGTCAATGCTATCACTAAAAATGGTAAGAAGTATTCCTACAAGAATATGTTATGATGTTTGGTCCAAGCCACAACAGAGAAACCCTATTCGTCCTCATTATGGTTGCTTACTCAGGCCTGGAGATAATGGTGAAACACTTCTATATATCTCTTGTCAGAAATATCAGCTCAGCTTTATATATTTCCTTTCCAAACATGGTCTCCAAGCCAAATCAGATGATTGATCACCAAGGCTACAATGGCAGCCAAAGGGATCCAGTGCTAGAGCTGTAAAGCTAGACTCATTTCACTAGAAGTCACTTGCCTCAGCCTTAAATGGGAAAAAAGAGGATTTTATTAAACATTAAGTCCCTACAATCTGCTGCATTCTCTGCGCCACTGATCTTCAGCGGGGCACATGGGACTCGAGTCACTGCTGAGAAAATATGCTGGATATTTCATGTTTGTGAATCGCATGGAGAGATGGAAAGGGAGTACAAACAAAAAACAAGAGGAAGCTCTGGAGAGGCTGCGGCTTCACTGTTTCTCAGATATATTTCTCATCTGGATGACTCAGAGCAAGACAGGACTTGACGATGAGAGAGAATGACAAAGACAGGGAGGAGCAGGGTGTCCTCCTCATCCCGTGAGGAGCTGACCCTACTTGCTCCATAATTCACTTTTGGGTAAAACTCCTCCACACTGCAGCCACAGAATAATGTCTGGGCCTCAATTGGTGCGCTCTATAAATAGCTGCTGAAGTTACGGCTGAGTGGGAACAAGCTGCTCTCGTCCCCCCGAGGGACAGAGAGGAAAATGGGAAGCACGAAATCCCATGGCCATCCCATCAGGAGGATCAACACAAACTGTGATAAGTTTGCTTATCACCTTGTTGTGATGAATAGGAAAAAGCCTCAGTTTAATTTATCCGTAACAGTAACAGCGTACTGACAGTTTGGATTATTAGTCAAGAGGGCTGCCAACGTTTCCATTTAGTTTTGATATGGTCATATTTAGGGTTATCAACTTTTTTAGAAATTACTTTAAAAGAAAAATGTATATAAAGAGTTTTTTCTTTTTTCATTTCCGTAATGTTTTAATACATATAATGTATTTTAAGGTGATTCACCTTCATTAAGCAAAACATACAGTATACAGTCAAAGTAAAAAAATACATGTAAAGTGATTAAAAGTCCTACATTCAAAATTGTACTTGAGTAATTACCGGCATGGTACATTTAAAAATGTACCCCTTTCAGAGCATCTAATTATGAAGCCTTCAATGTTATATTTTGACATGATTATATTACATTAAATTATATGATTTGTATTTTTTATATAGTTTTGCTCATGCAAACAATATAACTTATTGTGTAATTTATAATCCTTTGCTACAAAAATAAATACAAATTCAGTGGCTCTTCTGTAAGGTTTGTCGTTAGGCACAATCATTTCTTAAAGGATATGGCACTGCACAAATATAAGGGGGCCTTTAATCCAATGCATCATGTCTAATAGGTGGATCACATTTTTTGTGTAAATGTAAGCTACTACAGCTATAAAATAAAGTCAGTACAATATTTTCCTTTGAAATCCAGGCCAGTAGAAGTATAAAGTAGAATAACATGGTAGATGTACTTAGTTACTTTTCATCACCTTTGAAATGTAGATGAGCACGGATTCAGGCCATTGCAGCACTCAACTACAGGCTTAGAAGCGACATGAATATTTAAGCAA